CAGATAGCCTAGCTGCTTGCGCCAATAAAACACCAACCAACCAACCAACCATACCTTAGGAAGGACATTGAATTGTTGGAAAGGGTTCAGAGGAGGGTTACCAGAATGGTGCCTGGGATAAAGGGCTTATCATATAAGGAGAGATTAAGATCTCTGAAATTGTTTTCTGTGGAAAAAAAGAAGAGTTAGGGGGGATCTGATTGAGGTGTTTAAGATTGTAAAAGGAATTGATAGTGTTGATGCATCATATTTTTTCATATTTAACAGTGAGAATAGTAAGACTAGGAGACACAATTATAAATTTTGGAGTCATCTTCAGCTAAGACAGTTTTATTTTTCTAACAGGGTGGTTGGCCTTTGGAATGGGTTGTCTTCAGATGTTGTGGAGGTAGTAAATTTGAGTTCAAGAGAAAGCTTGATAACTATGTGAATAATAAGGGCTGGCTTTGAGGTTTTATTTATTTATTTTTCATTCAGTAGTTTTAGTTTAGTTTAGAGGATGGAACAGCCTAGATGACTAACATGTCCCTTGTTGTTCCTAAACATTGTTATAGTCAAACACATTCACACACACACACACACACAGGGTGACCAGACATCCCAGTTAGGGGGAATCTGATTGAGATATTTAAGATTGTAAAGAGAATTGTTTTAATCAAACACATTCATACACACACACAGGGTGACCAGACATCCAAGTTAGGGGGAATCTGATTGAGATATTTAAGATTGTAAAGATAATTGATAGTGTTGATGTATCATCTTTTTTCATACTTAAAGGTGAGAATATAAATTTTGCCAGGGTAAGAGTCATTCATCTTCAGCTAAGACAGTTTTATTTTTCTAACAGAGTGATTGGCCTCTAGAATGGGGTGCCTTCAGATGTTGCAGAGATAGTAAATTTAAGTGAGCTTATGAAAAAACTTGATAACTATATGAATGATAAGGGCTGGCTTTAAGATTTTAATTTTAATTTTTTATCTATTTGATAGTTTTAGTTTAGAGGATGAGGCAGCTGAGATGGACCTATAAGTCCCTTGTTGTCCCTAAACATTGTTTTGTTATCATAGGTGAGTGTGACATAGTTATGCATCCAAATTATTGTCAGATCTTGACAAGGGCAAATGGTGAACAAAACCTTTGTGTAAAAGAGAGTTTAGTCATTCTAAAGCTGAGGCTGAAAATTAACCAAGTAGTTCAATTTATAAGTTGCTGCTAATTTTATAACTTAAAAATCTCATAGGTAAATAAAGAAATTTTTCACATTCTTTTTAATATTGAAGAGAAAAAGTTTTCAGTTTGTTTTTTAGTATGGCATTAGGCTTATTTATTTATTTCTTGTACTATGCTATCCTTGTATCCAAACAGATATGTTTGAAAAAAAAAGATATTTTTATCAGCTGAACTTTTTCTTTTTTGCCTTGTCAGTTGCTAATGTAGGTTTGTTATTCATTGATTCTTGTATAGCATCTGGTTTGGTTTATTTTCCTTTCATATACAGAACACAGAGTGTGTGTTTGGTACCAGATTTGTTTGCTTCTGTTCTCAAGATGTAGGCTGGCTTTGCACCTCCTATAGTCCTTATTGATCTTGAACTACGTCAGGTTAACAGTACTTTGCCAAACATGAGTATTGTCTAGTTGTGAGTTTTTATTAGTGGTTTCTCTTATTGTGTGGAGAATTTTCTAAGAATACCTTCACCCTAATGCTTCTTTTTTTACACCATTTTCCTCCATACTACTTTTAAGTCTTCATAAGTCATAGAACTGTTCCTTGCAAGTTCTGTTTTGAAGACGATGTGGCAGTTCTTTTTTGCTCTGTCTTGCCTTTAGTAAAGATTAGGGGCATAGGGTGACTTCATAACCTGATGGTACACCAGATAATAGATGTGCCCACAATAGGAAAAAAAAATTAATGGAAGCTAAAGGTTTTTAAGGCATTCTAAAATGACATCCTTGACTTACGATATGTTCAAATGAAAAAAAATATTTTTACCTCAACATGATCCTAAGTTGTTCAAGAAAATACTAAAGATCAAAGCAAAAGAAACAAAACCTCTTAGATAAAATAGCAAACCTTTTCTAAATCTAAGAATGAAAAAAACAATTTCTTTTACCCTTCCTGAAAAATTTTGATAATGAATTTTTATACGAATTTGAGTTGTACACCTTGTAAATATGAATTACTGGTTAATGCCAATAAACATAATCAAATGTATTGTCACTAATTTAGAATTTTCAAAAAATGGCATGTGATAAAACCACTTTGTGATAACAGATTAAATGCATTATAAATACTAAATTTCTCCCTCTTTGCAGCTTAAACATACTCGACAGGTATCGAAACTTGATTGTTAGCATTATAAGTTTTACTTCGATGATGACCACTGTGTATCTGCTTTTTTTTGTTCAGTGATGTAATAATTGAGTAGTTGAATGTGATCAATTAATGAACCTGTTGACTAATCAGTTAGACAATTCCACTAATTGCCCATCTCTGTCTAGCTAACAGATATATAAAGGTGATGTTAGACATGCTCCAAATTCCAGTATTTCTGCGTACAGTGAGAACAACCTCCTGGAAAAGCATTTTGTCTGATATCACACTTCTGTTTTCTTGAAAATTGGGTCATTGTGTACATCTCTGTTATTTACAGAACCATGGGAACAAGTTTTAAAAATATGGTTCATTATTATTGTGTGCAATTAGTAGTTATTTATTTCTTGCGTTATACTTTGGAACACAGTATTTTATTCGTTTTTTTTATAGTGATAAATTTGCAAAAATATCAAGCAGACATTTGTCTTCATTAATAAGCATTTACATTTTATAGATTGTTGTGCAAATAGTTATATTACCATTAAAAGGGAATTGTTGTGCTTTGAGAATGTTGTTTGAAAATGTGTTTGTAATCTTATGCCTTAGCATGATAACCTTGTTTCAGTAACAGCAAATTATTACCAGACAGTCCTGAAAATTTTCTAAATGCTGTTGATGTATATTGAGGGCACAGTACATAGCATTGTAAAAGTACAATTGAGCGGACACTAGAAAGAGGGTTGATATTAAACTTTTAATGTCAGGCTCATAATTAAGCACCAAAATGTAGTTTCTTTATTATACCATCATGGAGGATCTGAACCTTGGTACAACAACAACAACAACAGTCATTGAAATAACCCTTGGTAGAAACAGTGTAGATGGAACATAAGCTTTATAAAACATTTTTTGGGGAATTGTGTGAACATTTACCTAAAAACGAAAAATTGTTGTCAGTCTGTGTTTGGAGTTGTTGAAATGTGTCATTTAATATTGACAAATAGGTTTTGTATGTATGTATGTATATAGGTGAGTAAATGTATGAGTTATTAGTTTTAACTTGTGAATTTCTCTGTATAGTATGTTCTTATCCTAAAATAATTACTGTGGGACAGTTTTATGTTTGTATAATACATTTTAAAGATAATACATTATAGGCTTATTATTTTTTAGTTACTGTAATTGTTTATTTTCATCTGTCTCTAAGTACTAGTGTCTTTAAAGATTTGCTTGCAGGGAAACTTGGCACCTGACACAGCTGGCAGGAATCAAATGATGTTTTATATCTTGAAGTGACATTTATAATGCATTTTTGTATTTTGTTTCTCTGCAAGTTGTATATGTTTTTAGCCATCAGATGAAGCTAGTTAATACATTCATTTTATTATTTTATATTTTTTCAATAGTTCTGTATATTTTTTGAACATTTCAATAATTTTTTGCCTTCTTTAAAAAATCATCTATTGGTATACTGTTATTTGTATGAATGTTTTTATTGGTAGTCAAGTATTATTCTGATGTATTAAAATAATGATCAGTTATTAAAACCTTCATAGAAATGGTAACACAATAAATTATTTTCTTCCTCCAAACTTGTATATCCACTTCCCCCCTTTAACTCTTATGATTCTAATAAAAAATAGAAGCAAACTTGCTGTGTTTTTTATTAGAATGAAAGACAAGGCTACACTGTATCCCCATGTCCTTCCAACACGTTGTTACATAAGGTGGAGAATTGTTCTTTTACGGCAAAGGAAAAGAAGATTTTACTTCAGGGAGTTCTTAAAGGACTGGGTGCTCTTCATAATCATGGTATTGTCCATGGTGCACTTCATCCTCTAGGTATCTTCTACAGTCCAGATGGACTTGGCATTATTGACACACCAGATTTTTCTAGAAATGAGGTAGGATAAAATCAAAACCAAGAATTTTCTTTCTAAAAATGTCATATTTAGTTAATTTTTAAGTTGGATGATGCAATTAGATTCCAGATTTAGGCCTGTGATTCTCACAAGTGTTTTTTAATTACAGCTATACATTCTAAAGATAAATAAAAGAAAAAAGATCTGTATCATGTTATTTTGCTTGTATAGATCTTGAAACACAAGCACTGTTTTTTCTAGGTGCAGAGACTTGCAGTGGGGACCACCACTCCAGTAAATGGGATCAGTTTCCATTGCCCTGAGACTATGTACAAGGAAGCACTGACTGTACAGAGTGATGTGTATATCTTTGGTTGTCTAATGCTCTGGGTGTGTTTGAGAGTGCAAATTTATAAAAGTATAAAGTTCTTAGAATTCTAGATTGTCGTAAAGTTATCGTGAACATGAATATAAATCATTAACTGAGAAAAATCTGACGTTTCTGAAATGATTTGTAGAGCGTATCTGTTTGTTTGCCCATGACAAAAATTTTCCAACCTCATACCACCAAAAACTTCCAGAAGCCCTTTAGTATACCGCAGAGGGATTCGAAATCTTTTAATTTATTCATTTTGTCAATTTTACTGTATTTAGTATTTAATTAGTGCTGGCGAATGATACATGTGCACACTGTTCTGCTATATACATGAAGCCAATAAAATAAATGTGGTACCTCAGTTTCTAATTCTATCAATACACTTAAGAAAGTGCTATTGAAATAGTTCCATATATAAACAAGTGGTGTGCACACCCTCTAAAAGTATTTGTGAGAAAAGAACAATAATATAAGTATTAATTTGCCATCTTATTTTCTTATTATAAGTTCAAATGTTTTGTGAGACATGTTAAATTACTTTACGAATATCATTTATGCTCTCAAGATAAATTTAATAAATGGAACGTGAAATATTTGTAATTTTTTAACATATACTTTTGTCTCAAACTTTCAGTAGTTGGTGATACATAACATAAATGAATGATCACTTCATTCTTTGCTTTTTAGACAAGTCAAAATAAAAAAAAAAATTTCAAAGCCGGTGAAATATTGTAATGAAAGATTCTGTTACATTGATAATTTTGGTATTATACACAGAGACAAACTGCTTGTAAAATATGATACTCAAGTTCGTCTCTTGCATGGGGAGTAAACACCAACTTTAAATTATTTAATCCTTTCTAGATGGGCAGCAGTAGGTTGTTTCTTTGTTTTTCATACTTGCATTAATGAAATTTAATAACTCATAAATGTTACTATATCTGAAACTCAGACACATCAAACATAAAGCATGGTAACTACTGAATGTTTTTTAGTGTAAATTATATTTTTTCGATGACTTTAGTATTTACAGTGAAAATATAGATCATTATATAAAAGGGCTTTATACTGTGCCATTCTGCAATATGATCATAGCCATTCATCTGAAGACCAACTTCCATATACACTAGTTTCATATACTAAAAAGATTGTGTGACTCCTGATTCATTAGTATTTCTTTTTTGTTATTTTATTATTCATTTAAGAAGATAATTGTTCGGTAAAAAAGGAGTATGTGTACAATATTATGCACACCCATGTTAGTTGTTTATTTTCTGTTTCATTCTAATAAACATAAAGTTTGAAATGATAACAGTAGATGCTCAGTCACAGGTCGAATGATGTCATATGCTTGCCCATTTTGTTGAGTGAGATTTTTTTTTAAATAACTTGCACATCATTAAAATTAATATAAATAAATCTGTTTGTTACTGTATGTTGTTTACAAAATTTACCAGTATAGTACTGTTGGAAATTTATGTACAGCTGTTTCAAAATAAAAAGACTCTTTCCCCCCCCCCCCTAATAATCTTGAAGATCATGCTTGGGATGAAGTCCACCATAAACTCCATTAGTTTCAAATTACCAGCAGGAACACTTGCAAAATAAAAAGTAACTGTCAATGTAATTACTTCAGCAAAATAAACAAGCAGTGGCAACTAATAAAATTAATTTATTTCTTTTACCAAAAGTACGACATAATTGGATTATTTGAAAATATGTAGAGGAAGAATTTTAACTATATTAACTAAAAAAAAGTTTACAATTTATAATATGTGTATGTGCTAATTGATACAGCCAGACATTTCTGTTTCATTACTTTACTAACGTTGTGTTAATTTAAGTTGTTTTCATTGTCTTTGCTAGTTGATGTTTCCAACTCTCAAGTTTATTGAGAGTCCAAAAGGAGTTCCTGATCTTTCAGCTTTGAATATGGTAATTTATAATTCCTCATGTTATTTGACAAGTTGAATACTGTGTTAAGAAATGAAAATATATGAAATAATTAATACAATTTAAGTTTTGTCTCAGTGAAGATACATTGTCTGAAGGGTGTATGACATGTAAGCTGTATAGAAATAGAAATTTTGATTACCAAGTGTTATTTTGGATTTAGAGAATATGTTATTTTCAGGATCTGAGGTCTTTTGAGTACTCCATTATCTGCTCTCTCCTGTTGAAGCAGACAGATGAAGAACCTACAGTGCATGACCTTTTATCATCTGAATTTTTCACATCAGTGGACTGCGAAGAACCTATGAATCCTAAAAGTGCTCTAACACAAGATTTTTCTCAACATGACTCTTGTGTTTTTCTAAGAAATAGTATTAAAAATTCTTTGTATGTTGAGGAACATTATGAACAACAGTTAATTTCTTCAGAGCTTGGTGCCATGAAAAACAGTGATCAGTTTGGGATAGAGTATCATGATATGGAACCAGACTGTGATGATATAGCAGTATTCAATGCACTTAGAGAAAGTATTGGGGGTGAGTCCAACTCCTTTCCATGTGTTGATCAGTGGGACCCTACTCTAGGCATGGATTTTCATAAAGAGTTATCAAATGGTGAGAGAAGTCACACAGACATTGATGAAAACCCTGAAGTTGAAGATAATGAGAGAAAAAATCAGGTAGTTGATGAAGTTAGAAAAGATGAGAATTATGAAAATATTAGTGAAGGAAAAAACCAAATAGATGTTGATGTAGGAGGTGAAAAATCTGAGAAACATGAAAGTAATAGTGATTTTACAACAGAGTTATCAGCTATTTCTGTGAATCATTCAGTAGAACTTTACTCTATGAATGAATGTGATGTAGAACATGTAACTGAAATACAAGTGACAAACAATACAAGTCATTTGCCTCATGTATCTGATGAAATAGAAAAACATGGAAATCTGTAACACCTTTTGTGAGGTTTTTACTTTTTTCGCTTGTTCTATCCATGCAAGATGTTTTCCTTCATAATCACTTTTTATTTTTATATCCAACTATACTTGGTATAATTTGAAAAAAGTACTAAAAATACACATGAGTTGAAGTTCTTGTAAGGATTGTGAGATTTGGTATCTGTATATGAATTGTATTAGATGTTTGTCCAGTTATTTAGTACAGTTTTTAAGTTAGTTTTATTTTACTTACACTATAACTTTTTTTGTCTAGATGAAGCCCAAGTTTTCAGAACATGGTAAAAGTAGTAAATTATGTGTACGTGAAATAAAATAAATATTTCATTCTGAAATAGTTCAAACATGTTAGAAGTAAGCAGTGTCAGGCCAGAGTAATTGAAGACAAAATTAGATTAATAAAAGCATGCAAAGAAATAAGCAGTTTATTTTTTAATGAAGCAAGAGCTCTATAAATGTCTTTAAAATGTCCAAACCATCTATCTATACATGCACATATGTTTCTGTATTAACAAACATATGAATAAAATCTTTACAAAAGTTGGGAATAGTGTCTATACCCAAGTTTTCATGCTCTGTTTATATGCTGGAAGTGCAGTGAAACATTTTGTAGTATATTGTAATTGGTTCATTCAGGCTGCTTTCTTAAAGAATATTCTGCAACCCACTATTTTATGTTTTCAAATAACTTGAATACTTGTTAAATTAGTTAATGTTTAAAAGATTTATTTCAGATTATTTTCTATTTTTGTGTGAAGTGGTATTACTGAAGAAACAAACACATTTACATATAAAAAATACTGATCTTATCCTCACTTCAATTTAGCACAATAACTAAAATAAATCAGTGAAATTGAATTTTTATACAATAAACGACTTTTGAAATGTACTTGTCAGTTGATAAGGTACAACAATAAGTAAACGTAACCAGCATTTTGAATGTTGTAGTTAGCCAACCTACTACATAAATTAAGGGATATTAAAACCTTTGCTGTTACATATATTCATAGTAGCTTCTTATATGCTGTTTATGCAAAAATTGTTCTTATGTAATATTTTCCCGCTAAACAGACATTAGGTTTTTTGTACATAAATGAGATTTGTGTAAAACTTTATCACTTGCTATGGCAAATATTTAACACAATAATGAACATCAGATTGCTAATGCAGAATTAAATGCAAAAGACATGAATGTTTAAATGTGTATGAATTAGCTGTTTGTAAGAATGTGAGTGTGTGTGCATATATATCTGTGTATTTGTGTATAAATACATATGCACACACACAGAGTATAAACCTGTGAAACAATCAACTAATAATATGGACACTTACTCTCTGGCTTTATATGGTGGTTAGTTAAACAGCAGTGTTAAAGTACAAGTAATAGCTTTTATGTTAATATTCAAAAATTTAGTGTGTGTGTCTCTCTCTCTCTCTATATATATATATATATATATATATATATATACACACACACACCATTCAAAAGTTTGGAATCAGACATGTGCAAATACAAGATGAATTAATTATTTTCACTCAGTCATTAGATTTATAAAAGTAACCACCTTTGGCCATAATGACACCTTTATTTTTTTTTTGCAACACACTTTCAGTCAGGTTACCAAAATATTCAGGTTTTAGGACATTCCAGGGCCTATGGATATTTAGTTGTGACATTACATATAATTGTACTTTTTACGTGTTTGTAGATTTCATCCCACACCAGTTCAGTTAGATGATAAGTTTAATGATTGTGATTTTTAACTCATGTTTTAAAGGTACACCTTGACGTTTTGCCTTTAATATAGCCTCAACATAGTTTAGATACATGCTTCAGATTATTTTACTATTAGAATATGAAACCTTGGCCCGAAAGTCTAGCGATAGATGGTACAGCATGTGTTTTTAGAATACTGTTGTAATTCTCTTTACACATTGCACCAATAACTTTTTAAATCACATGTATTTGTGCTTAGCTGTAGGAAGTTTCCAAGCTATTCTTTTTATCTTTGGTATTGATTGGTATTAAGGTACATTTTGATCACTTTGATGATTCTCATGTCATCTCCAAAAATGTTTATTTTCAAACTCTTGAGTGGTATTGTGTGTGTGTGTGTAAATTACTTTGTGGTTTTATTTCAACATTGTAAAGTATGCCCAATTTTTTTGCAGATTTTGCTAACATTTATTTCATGGATGAGGTTAATATAGTGATCTGTGTGAGAAAAGCACTACTACTTGGTTGCAGAAATGCATACAGTATTGCTTAATATTTCCCTGTTGGTTGTTGATATGTGTAGTGATTGTCCTGAACAAAGTAAGCCCTATGGTATAGTTAATTATGTAACCAAGTCAATTTAATACAAGTTTCTTTTTTTGTAAACTATAAACAAATTTATTTCTCTACCTTTCCTTGTTGTGTATTTTTCATTTATATGAGACAAGGTGATCTCATTAATTTGTTCTTCAAATTTTGTCTATAAGTATACCAAAATTACAATCAAAATTTATAGCCATTTAGAAATATTTCAAGTACACATGGAAAATAAAAAAGATGGTATTAATGAAATGTACATGTATGTTTGTGTACATTTATAGTGGGATGGCTTAGCTACAACATGAATAATTAGGTAGATTTGTTCTTATATATATATATATATATATATGTACTGTAAAAATTATTTAAAGAATGACTGTTATGAGTGGGCTTTGTAAAACATGCAAATTATAATTTGTGTTTTCAGAGAAGAATTGTACCATAAACCTATTCAGCATCTTATTTTGTTCATGATTTTGCATTTAATCTCTTTATCTACAATTTATAATGCCTATGACTGGCTTCATAGCTCATATTTGTGTATCACATGGAAAATACAGATTTTGGTATAGGTCTAAGTTTCCATTGTATTAAAAACCTGTTTCTTAATATTGTAATTAAAGAAGTTGCATATTCATATCCACTGTCTTTATTTCATTCCTAAGTGACAAAAAAATAAATGGAATTTGGAACACAGAACTTTACAGTATATCAAATCATAAGTGTTGTGTCATGAATTACAGTATTTGAAATTTGAAGAAATTAAACAGTTTTTGTTTTAATTTGTTATCTACAGGTTCAGTTTATTACTAATTGAACATTGCATTTTGTTTGAAGATATAACTTAAAGAAACTATTTAGTTTGTAATTTAAACGTAAATTTTTCTTAAAGATTATTACTTGATTGAAAATTAGTTTTTTTGAGAATGATTAAAATGTACGTAAGATATGATTAACTATACAGAAATACATTTTTGGTTAATGTATAATAAGTATGTAGCTCAGAACAAGTGAGTTCTGTCCAGTTGTGTTATCCAATAATCAAATTAGATGACTACATAGACTTTAACTTTCTTGATAAAAGAGTTAGCACAAAGGATCACATATAAAGTGTAATAAACTTAAAATAATACCCAAAACTCGAGCACTTTCAAATAGTTGACTATTCTTCTTCAGGAATATTCTGAAGAAGAATAGTCAACTATTCGAAAGTGCTCGAGTTTTGGGTATTATTTTAAGTTTATTAGACTTTAACTTTCATTCTTTCAGTCATAACTGGTTATCATGTAGACCTAACCATGTGTGTAAGTGTTCTTATTCTATTTCTTCTTGGTTAGCTAGTAATGGTAACACTTGCAACCACAACAAGTCAAATGAAATCTTTTAGTCAGAATATGTAGTATTCAATTTTTAAACGTTTTTCACATCATCAGATAAAATGAATACAATTTTTTCAAATAAAAATTTTATTGTAGTCTAGTAGATAGTTTTATTATGCATACCAATTTGAAATAGATGATTAAATTGTATCTATTATATAAGTGAAATATTGGATGTGACACTTGGTCAGCTGTTAATTACTTTGAGGTTCCAGGATTCAGGGTTGCATTTGTGTGTGTTAAAAATTGGATGATCCAATTAGTTTACAGTAGCAATGTTTTTATCAATTACATATTGCTTGAAGTGTAATTTGTGTTTGAGAGTTGTGAAATGATTCCAAATTTTGATGTTTCAACACTAATATTTATAAGTATAAATTTTATTGTTTGGAATTAACAAAATTATAAATCAAGGTAATAAGGAAGTATTTTTTTAATGTTGTTCTTTCTAGCAGTATGAAGGTGAAGTAAATCTATGTAGAAGTAGTTCTGAGTTGAATTAAATTGGTGGTGGCAAAAGCAGTACAGTAACAGCTGTAGAAGTACACATGCAAAATCTGATACAGTGTAGTAAAATAATAAGACTTAGTAACAACTTTTATCATGACATGTCTTTAACAAGCAAGTTACTGAAAGATCACAAAGCCATTGAAAATATAAAAAATTATGAGTTGAATTAAATCAGTAATATGATGGAGTATTGTGGAAGTGATTCTAACAAGAACACAAGTAATATTGCATGAAATAATCCAATAAATGATCATAAAAATGTGCTGATATAGAGAAAATACAAGTAAATAATGAGCTTGAAAGTGGTGTAAGATAAAAAAAACTAATAGTTCTGTATTCTTGAGAATCATAAAGATGGTAACAAAAGAACTGTGAATAGCTCTTTTTGCAGCATCTCAACTCCTGTTGTCACTCACATTTTCACAAAAGTAATCAGAAAATAAAATTATTTATTTTAATTATTATCAATACAAAAAATCATGATTAGCAGAAGTAATATGTCTTAGATTGCTGTAAGCAATTATAATATAAGTTCATTACTGATAACAATGATGTTTCTTCTGTGATATGCAACTTAAATTATTGGAGCATTTCAGTTATGTGTATCATTTAAGTGAGACCCATTCTTGTGATAGCATGTTATGAGTTGAATGCATTCTTTGTCATTCAGTAAGGCTTTTCATTCAAATTATGTGACATTGAAGTAGAGTACTGAAGAGAAATAACTTCTTTATTTTGTTTGAGTCTTTCAGTACAAGTACTTAATATGTTTCAAAAAAGCTTTTGATACATTGCATTAGTTCCTACTTAGAACTAAAATAAGTGAATACCCAAGTTATATCAAAATCCTCAAGAACAAATAATTTGTCAACATAAGAAAAATATTTGTTTTGAGGTATTGGAAATATATCTGTAATTAAACCAAATAATTTTTTCCTCTTATTATGTGTGTGTTGTGGATTTCGACTATATGCTAATACTATACTACTAATAGTAATATACTAATATACTACTAATACTATGGCATGTATTATTATTAGCATTTAAATTACATTTTCTAATATACTATTTTTATTTCTTTCTCTCTCTCTCTAGGTATATATATATATATATATACACACGTAA